TCTCAGAGCGTTCCAGATCGCTCTGAGAAGGCCGCGGCGCCCGAGACATCCTCCAGAGCCGCCGGATCTCAGAGATTCCAGATTTATCCTCACCCTCGTGTGTCCTCGTCCTGGCTGCGTCTTAGGGATGGGAGAGAAGGGAGGGGTTCTAGGCCTCGGAGGAGATGTGGTCGGAGGATCGTGCCGCATCGACGATGCATCGTCGATGCGGCTCGATGTGGAGCCCAATTTGCTTGACGTCGACGTTGCTGATGCGTCGTTCATGTCGACGATGCATCGCCAGTGCATCGCCGATGCATCGCCGATGCATCGGCGATGTATCGGCGATGCGGCGCGATCCTCCGACCCCATCTGCTCCGACCCCATCCAGGAAGCCTGTAGGGTGGTAGACATAATGTGTTGCATGCAGCTGGTTTTGGCCCCGCCGTCGGGCGCGATCCTCGACACATGGCCCCCTCCAGCGCCAGGAATGCCAGATGCAGGAGCTGATTCGCTCATCGCATTCTGCTTTCCTCCATGTCGTGGGAGGGAAGGGCTCCTTGTCTCTCCTCCTCCTCCTCCTCCTCCTCCTCCTCCTCCTCCTCTGTCAGCTTGCGCCGTGAGCGCTGCCGAAGTACAGCCGCAGTTGTGGGTGGCCAGCAGATGACAACGAGTACCCCTTTTATGCGATGTGGCCCCTCGATGCCTCGGGGTCGAAGTCCGTGGGGGGCTATGGGCGTGTGTTGTCGGATGGGCCTCCCGCTCGAACGGAACCCCTCCTTCAAGGTCCGACAACCCGCACCCATCTTTATGGCGCGTTCATATTCTTGCCCTTTCCCACTCCTTCTCCCTACAGGTTTGAGCGTTTTTTGTCTGTCCTTTCATCAGTCTGCGCATCGGGGTATCCACGGTGTGACAAGCAGCGAGTGCGTCAGTTCCCGCGAAGCTGTGTTATACCATTTTCTCTGACACGTTCGCGTGGCAGGCTATCGGAGCGGGGGTCCTCCCCTCCAGGCCACAAACAGGGGGCCGGAGCGAATTGTGTCGGAGGGTCGCGCCGCGTCGCCGATACATGGGCGATGCGGCTCGACACCGAGCCCTACTATCTCCATCCCAGCGTCGCCGATGCATCGCCGATGCGTCAGCGAGGCAGTGCGATCCTCCGACCCCTCTTGCGCGGATCCCTTCTCGGCGGCCTCCACCTCCACTCTCCGCTCATGCCTTCCCCGCTTCGCTTTCGCGCTCTCTGTGCTCGTCAGGGAACAGACAAGGAGTTGCGAGCAGCACGTGGCTCCCACATTGAAGGACCTCGCGGGCAAGACATCTTCCCTTATAGCCTTGACGACGTGTGTTTGAGCCCGTCCTTTCCTGTCCAGCGTGGAGCTCCAGCGCGTCCTCCCCTGGTCCCTCCCGCTGAGGCAGCCCGCCCGGCCACTGCCCCGTGAGTTCTCCCGAGAGCTTCCCGAGGGCCCTGGGATACAGCAGGGCTAGGATCGGGATAAATCGCTCTAGAGCGTTCGAGTTATCCCGATCCGATTTTGTCCCGATCTTCGTGTCGTTTTATGGGAGCCTCTGGAGGCCCAGAGAGGGCCAGAGACGCTCGGAGCTCACCGGGAAGCTGGGTGAGCACAGCTGGCGCGGCGGGCCCCGGCCGAGCCCCGGATGCTCGTGCGGCTCGCGTGCCCAGACGTCTCTCTCCAGCGCGCGGCCCTTCCCTTGCCGTGGAGGAGGAGGAGGAGGAGGAGGAGGAGGAGGAGGAGGAGGAGGAGGAGGAGGAGGAGGGATGGAGGAGGAGGAAGAGGAGGAGGAGGAGGAGGAGGAGGGCTCTCCGCACGTGCACCCGGCGCATGGCGTCCAGGTGTCTCCCCAGGTGTATCCAGCCGTGCAGGTTTCCAGCTCTCCGGCAGATCCCCAAGCCTCTTCTTTTCCTCCCTCCCTCACCCCGATTCGCCGTCAGTGAAGGGTTTCCTGACGAAAACGGATCTCAGGAGGGAAAAAGCACACGGGCACAGTGAGTCGTCGGTTCCCCAGAACATATGGGAACAGATGGGAAGTGGGGGGGAAGACAAAAGCCCAGAAGATATGGGAACATATGGGGAATCCTGTTTCTTGTGTGTATTTATGTGTGTGTGTGTCTGTGTGTGTGTCTGTGTGTGTGCGTGTGTGTGTGTGTGCGTGTGTGTGTGTGGTGTGTGTGTGTGTGCGTGTGTGCGTGTGTGTGTGTGTGTGTGTGTGTGTGTGTGTGTGTGTGTGTGGTGTGTGTGTGTGCGTGCGTGCGTGCGTGCGTGCGTGCGTGCGTGCGTGCGTGCGTGCGTGCGTGCGCGTGCGTTGCGTGCGTGCGTGCGTGCGTGCGTGCGTGCGTGCGTGCGTGCGTGCGTGCGTGCGTGCGTGCGTGCGTGCGTGTGTGTGTGTGTGTGTGTGTGTGTGGCCTCTCTCCTCCTTCCTCTCTCCTCCTCCTCCTCCTCTCCTCCTCCTCCTCCTCCTCCCTCCTCCTCCTCCTCCTCCTCCTCCTCTCCTCGGGATCCCAGACCTGGGCCTGTTCCTGCATCCCGAGTCCTTGTCCGACGACCTTCGGGCCCGTGGAGGGCCGCAGGGGCATGTCACCGGCGACTGGCGCGGCCCATACTGGGGGCGGCAAAGAGGGGGGTGATGACTAGGGGGGGGGGGGGATATCATGGCGGGGGCCATGATATTTCCGAAGATTTGATGGCGCCTCTTCTGATTTCAAAAGCAGTAATTACTTGTTATTGCAAGTCGTAAGTCGACAGTAGCGGGGGAAGCGTCCCGCCGGCGTCGCAGAGCGCGACGGCGGGCGGCTGCATGACCACCCGCGGCGCGCCGTTCCATCGGGCGGGCCTGGCTCCCGCGCGGGCTTGCCCGCATGCCGCGCGGCCGTGCGTCGGGGTCCTCTCCTGCTCTCTTCACCTCCGCGCGCGGTCGTGTCGTCTCCACTCTGCCGCCTGGCCGCGGGGCGGGATATCAAGTACCTGGTCATGCATGTGGCGCCCTACCTGCCCATAGTGGCACTCTGGGGGTAGGGCGTCCGCCCAGGGTGTCTCCTATGCTTGCCATAGCGCAGCTTTGGTTGACCTCTGGGGCGACGCGCGGCGTGTCCGTTCGTCATAGTGCGGCGGACGCGTCCGCGGTCGCGGTTTCGTTTTCTTCTGTGGCCCGCGAGCGGCCCTGTCGTGTGGCCTTATGTGGCCCTGTGATGTCGGTGCGTGCCCATAGCGGCCAGGACGCATGCCTTGGGTTCACTACTGGCGCCTGCTGGTGCTTTCTCCGGTCCCATAGCGGCTTTCGGGTGGCCCGTGGCGGCCGTGGGTTTATCGCGCTTGCCCAGTGCGGTCAATCGTTCGATGGACCTATTTTGGTCTGCTTCGGGAGCCTGCTTAGGTTTCCGTCTCGTACCTGTGTGGTCTCATGGGTCGGCCTTCTGTGGCCTTGTATTGTCGGTGCGTGCCCGTAGCGGCCAAGACCTATCATCCTCTTTGTTTCGCGACTGGCGCTTACTCGTACTTCCTCGGTCCCATAGCGGACTTTCGGCTGGCCCGCAGTGGCCCTGAAGTTTTCGTTTTTGCCCAGTGCGGCCAATAATCGATGGGCCCTGTCCGGTCAGCTACAGGTGCCCGCTCAGGTCTCCTTGTCGCCCCGGCGTGGACTCGTGGGTCGTCGTGCCTAGAGTGGCCAACTCGGTCCAGGACCGGTCCGCGTCCTGGTGGCCCAGTGGGCCGTTATGCTATCTCGTGGGGTCGCATTCGTACCATCGAGTATGCTTCCTGGTTTGTATGCCGGGCGAGCGCCGTGTTCTGGCGGGTCTATCTTCTGCGCGCAGTCGCGCAGCGAACCAACGCATCAACTGTTTCCGCGCGAGCGTGGCTGCTCAGCCAGCGCCGTTCGCCCCCATGGCGGGTGTTGAGCTGCTTGGACTCTTCAAACAGGACCCCGTGTTCGGTGCTGAGTGGCCGGACATCGAATTCAAGGCAGGGGTCGACTGCTTTGATGAACGCGAACGCTATAGAACACTCTATCCTCGTATTTTTCTATACAAAACAATGAAAATAATGAAAAATAGTGAAAATAGTGAAAAACAACATAGTGAAAATATACAAAAAAAAGAAACATGTTAGAAAATAATAATAAAAAAAAATTGCGACGATACCACAAAAGTAACAAAAATATGCATTGAATAAGCATGCAAGCGTAGCAAAGCGGACACACCGCTGCAAGCGAACACGAATAAGCATGCAAGCGTAGCAAAGCGGTCAAACCGCTGCAGACATGCACAGATACAAGCAAAGCTGCCATCCCGCCGACGCTAGCGCGCGCGCGGCAAGCTTTTATGCAGGCCTGCGGCGCCAGCGGCGCGTGCAAACCTCGCAGAGAGCGGAGCGAAGCCGCCTATTATAGGGAAGTCTATTCCAGACATGCATCGCTTGCAAGGACCTAATTCAGTCGGCGCCTCCGAAGGCGGCCCTCCGCCTGCAGAGAGAGAGGCGCACTGCAGAAAGAGAGTTCTAATTCAGCCGCCATCGCGAGTCGATATTCGACAGCTGTTCGGAGCTTCCACTTGTTCTGCCCGCTGTAATGCCCGCGAACACGAGGAGGAATCGTCGATTCGGCGGCTGTCCAGCGCGCTGGGCACACTGGATACCACCACGAACCACAGCGCTGCTTCACCCACATTGTCCCTGCCTCACCGTTGAGGGTCTGGCAGAGCGAGCGCCTTCTGGTGGCGGACGTCATGGGGGCGGCGCGGCAGGCGGATGAGCTGTCGAGGCGGTCTCGAAAAAACAAACTCGAGCCCAAAAGTGATGCGGATTATTGTTGTTTCTGTGAGTTGTTTCTGTGTGCACATGCGGCCTGGCCGCTTTAAATCACGTTTTGAATCGCGCTCAGAACGTTGCTTCCATGGAGGGGACGAGGAGGGTGAGAATGAGGCAGACGGGGTGAGAAGAGAGAAGAGGAGAATGAGGATATGAAATAAGATGAGAAAATCGCCTGGCAAAGCGGTCGCGCCGCTTCCGACAGCGACAACGGCGATGGCGATCGCGGTGGCAAATTTTTTATAAGAAAAAATCGCGCTGGCCCTGCCATGACATCAGCGCTCTAAGTCAGCAGTTCGGTTTTTATGCTATATCAACAAGCAGGAACGTTCCAAGAGCCTCCTCTGTCCACAGCGCCTGTGGCTTGTAACTGTCGCAGCGCAGGAACCGAGGGGCGCCGTCCTTTCGCCGGCGTGAGGCGCCGGGGGATACCTGACAGACAAACTGCAAAGTGTGGGCAATCAACACCACGCTGCCGCCCTCTTCAGCCCCACCGACGATAGAATGACGCCCACCACCAAAGTGAAGTATATCTCCAGCTTTGACGCGAGATCCCCCAATAACGACCATCGTCGAAATGCTCTTAACTTCGTTGTGCTTGACGCTGTTCACCAAGCCATTTCCAAATGACAACTCTTTCTCTTTTGCGTTGTAGCAGCGAAGAGCAACACATCGTACCAAAAGTGAATTTTCAAAGGTGCGGGTGTTGTCGATGTTATCAGCGACGGCCAATGATTTGTTGTGGTAGCGCTCGGTTACCAGCGTGTCCAGGGCGAAGCCGCCCCTCGCAACCTGCCGCGGCAAGTGTCGGCAGAAATGGAATTGTGGGGTGTGCAAGTTGCAATCCCCGTGCGCGCGTTCGAATAGCAGGGCGTGGTCGCACAAGGCCACGGCCCAATCATCTGCCTGAGCAGGGCCTCTCTTTGCTTCTAAATTTAACGAAGCGCATTGGGCCAGCGCTGTAAAAGACGCCATTTCCTTTGCAAAGTCCGCCTTGACCTGAGCGCTTCCGTCGGGAAGTGCATCCAAGGCGTGCCGGATTAGCGGCAGAACCGATATTATATCACTCGCCTTAGCGGTGTATTGTTTGCTCTTTCGCAAATGCTTCTGTCGCTCATCGCTGAGAAGTCTGTTTGCATCAAGCGGCCCACATGCCGAGCAGGTCTTCCATTGCGCGTTGGCGACGTCCCTGAATCGGTCCAAAGTCAGGCCGACGGCCGCCAGGCGGCACAGCAATTCGTTCAGTTCAATCTGCGCGATCCCATTTATGATCATGCAATGTGCTGGATCGTGCGCGTGCATATCCAGCGCCGCGTGCTGGCGAAGTTCAATGTCCAATAGCAAACCATCTGGCACGCGATTAATGCCGTGCATCTTGCATTGCTCGTCGAATGCGCCCGTGGGTAAAGTTTCGTTTAAATTCTGCAGTAGATCAGCGCTGAACCACAAATCGTTCGCGCTGCGCGCGTCGAACCGATTCGGGCCAGCGCAAGAAATGGGCGCCAATGTTCCCGTCGTGTCGAACGCTGAGAGCAGGGCCTCCGTTAAATCGCATATGTCGTGGACATTCTTGCGCAACGCGCATGGGGCAACGCCAGCCGCACCCTTTAAACACAATGCATTTTTAGCGCCATCTTCGTCATAATAAAGTAGGTTCGACAATTTGAAAAAGATCAGCGCAGGGGCACCGCCAGGCCCAATGCCATCAATGAGGACGCCCCTCTGCGACGCGCTGTCTGGGCCAACGAATAGTCGCAGCAATAGTTGGCGAACAACTGCAGACATCTTACCGCGTGCCTTATCGACCATCGTATGCCGTATAAATGCGAGTGGGAACCACGCGTCCTCAGATGTCAACGCAGCGGGGCCGAACGTGCGGAAGCTGGCATAAAACGCCAATGTCTTGCGCTTGTTATCTTGTCTCAATACATTCCCTGGCACAAATTCGTCGAAATATCAAACGAAGTCCCAAGGTGTGGAAGGGGAGCGCGGGCTCTTGCTGAAAGTGGTTGACATCAATCGTTTGAAACTTTCCGATTCTGAAACGCAGTGCTGAAGCGGACTGGCAAGGTCCGTGTCTGGCATATTGAAGTTGCCGTCGTTCAGCTTCAGCTCTATGGGCGCATCGAGAAACGCTGCGGCGAACTCCTCGCGCGCGCGCTGTAGTTTCGACTATCCGGCGCGCGAAATGAAGCAACCAGCGGGGCCAACGTGCGTGACCTCTGCGAAATGACCTCGCGTGTACCATCGGTGTTTGGTCGATCCATTGGGCCTGGAACTAATCCAAACAATGCGGTTTGGGCCAAAGCTGGTTGATATAAGCATGCAAGCGCGCCAAAGCGGTCAGACCGCTGCGCGCTTCACGAACGCAAGAACTGAACACGTAAGATTGCCGCGCAAGCGCACATGGTGGTCAGACCGCTCTTCGGGGCGCGACGGCCACGAAGCGAAGGGGGGGGGGGGGGGGGGCGGGGGGAGGGAGGAAGGAAGTGATTCTGTCGCGTGTTTTTTTTTTTTGGGGGGGGGGGGCGGGTCAGCAAGGTCTCAGGGGGGCGATGGGGAAGAGGGGGGGGGGGGGGGGGGGAGGAGGAGGGGGAGGAGTGATGCGCTTTTGCGATGGAACAGCATCGGCTTGCATCCGCGACGCCGATTGTTCGGCTACGGGGGCAGCGCGCCCCTTGTATACCCGACGCAAAGAGGAGCAATGAGTTCCTCATCCGACGTGAGAGCGGTTCCATCCGCTTTGCGCAGTGGCAGGCTCGCTCAGAAGCCGACGCTGGAGACTTACTCCGAAGCGCGCTGGCCAGCGCCCCCGAGTCTCCGCTGTCAAGCCCATCGCTTGATCAATCTGCCCGCGCGCAGCTCTCGAAAGCAGCGGTCGCGGTCTTCATCCACGTCGCCATGTAGTTGACGGCAGTCTTAACCTCGTTCTCCTTGATCTCTGGGATCAAACTCTGGCCCTCCAGGCAGCCATTGCAGTACTTCGCAATTCCGTTCAGGAACTCCTGCTTCTTGCCCGACATTCCCGTGCACGTCTTCGGCGCCTGGCGAGGGCGGTGGTGATCATCCCCCCCCATCCTCTTCCTCCTTCTCACCCCACCCTCCCCCGCCTCCTCCTTCTCCCCCCCCCTCCCCCCCTCCTCCTCACTGACGCCTTCTTCAAGCGATCATCTGCTCTGCCGGCAGCGTTGCCGTCTTCTTCAGCAACGGCTTCACCGCCGCCAGCGCCTTGTGAACGACCTGCAGGGCCTTCGTGCGTTTCTTCTGCTCCTCCCTCTTCTGGGCGGCCTGCTCCTTGGCCAGCTCTCTGTCAAGCGGCTTCTGCTGCTTCTCAGCTTCGCGGGCCGCCTTTTTTCCTCAGCTGCGACCTTGGCCCTGCGCTTGGCTAGCAGCTCCGTTGGCGAGAGGCCCGCGTCCGATCCCGATAACTAATCCTCAGCCTCCTTCTTCGACTTCTTGCCCTTCTTGGATTTGTTGCTTTTCTTGGACCGCTCGCCCTTCTGTGACTTGTTGCCCTTCTTCTTTTTCTTCTTGTCGGAGCTCGAATTGCTGGAGCTGCTGCTGCTGCTGATGCTCTTGCGCTACTTTGAACTCGACTTCTTCTCTGGCTTTTGCTCGGCCAGCTTGCCGCATGCAGCCTCCTCGCCCTCCTCAGCTTCTGAGGCCCCTTCGAGGAAGGCTGCCGCCTTGCGCTTGCGATTGTGGCCCACTGTCTTCGCCACCTCCTGCATAATGACCTCCTTGATCCTGGCCTCAGAGATCGAGTTGATCGCAACTCGGTACGTCTTCCCGAGAACGGGGTGATCCTCGATGTCTGCCGCTGCCGTTTTCTGCTCGATGTCATCCGTGTTGTAGCCCAGTTTCTCGTGCACGGACAGTGGCAAGTATTGCCCGCTGCGGGTTTCCGTGATACGCTTCATGCGCACCTGCATGAGCATATGCTTCATTGCGTCGCGGCAGGCGGCAGCGGTGCAGCCGCATTCCTTGTAGAAGTCATCCTGCCCCCCATTGCTGAGCTCGTCGAACTCCGCAATCGGCCACCCGCCGAAGATCCTCCGCAGCGTCTGGTCGCGCACCCTGCAGTTGGCACACGTGATCATCGTGCCGTTGTGGGTAATCCTAACTCCCTTTGCAAGCGGATCGTAGATCTCCTTGCGCAAAATGCATGTCGGCTGCTCTTGCGACGCGAGCAGCTCCGCAATCTCACCTTGCGTCGGCCCAGCTTCAGGGTCTGCAAGTGCCTGCTCCTCAGCTGGCTGCTTCTCATGTGGCTGTTCCTCAGCTTGCTTCTCCTCGGCTGGCTGCTCCTCATCTGCCTGCTCAGCTGGCACCTCTCCTTCCGTGTCTTCGACCTTGGCTGGGCCACCTGCGTTTTATATATATATATATATATATATATATATATATATTTCTTTTCTTTCTTTTTTTTTCTGCGCGGCCTTCCGCGCGGGCGCCGGGGTTGCCGTCGGGCTGGCCCGCGGTCTGGTCGACGGAGGCGGGCCCGCAGCCCCCCGCTTCTGGCCGCTGGCTGCCTGCGCTGGCGCCCCCTAGGCTCTGCTTCTGTCGCTGCTTGCTGAAGAGCGACTGGAGCGCGTTCTGCGCCGCAGCTGGTTGCACGCTGGGCGGGGTGTCGTCCGCCGAAGGCAAGGTGCTCATCATCGCGTTGGCGATGACAGCTGCTGCGTCTCCTGGATCAGCGGAATCGCACCGGGGAGAGGGCGGCGGCGGGGGGGCGGTGCGAGGGGGGGGGGGGGGGGGGCGCTGCAAAACGGTCATGCCGCTGCGGCCAGGGCCCGAGGATAGGGCATCGGCAGGGAGGCCGGTCACCGCCATCGTCCGAAGCCGCCGCCTCGGCCGCTGCAGGCCGCTTTCCGACGACGCGCGCCGTGCTCACGGTGCGCGCTGCCGACGAAGCGGGAGCGCGGAGAGTCGCACGGAGAGCCAAGTAGCTGCGCATGGAGCGGCGCACTCCACGCGCAGCAATCACAATGCAAAGCGGTAGCGCCGCGGAGTCGAGAGGATATCGCGCGCAGCGGTCGCGCCGCTGAAGCGCGTGGACGAGGGGCAGGCGACGGGGGAGGAGGAGGAGAAGGAGGAACTGCGTTTGAACATTGAAAAGCAAAGCGGTTGGTCCGCTGCGTGAGGGGGAGGAGGAGGGGGCGGAGGAGCGCGGGGATTGCGCCGTTCACAATATTCGAAGCAAAGCGGTGTGTCCGCTGAAGGGGAGGAGGAGGAGGAGGAGGAGGAGGAGGCGGAGGAGCGCGGGGATTGCGCCGTTCACAATATTCGAAGCAAAGCGGCGCGTCCGCTGAAGAGGAGGAGGAGGAGGAGGAGGAGGAGGCGGAGGAGGAGGAGGAGGAGGAGGAGGAGGAGGAGGAGGAGGAGGAGTGTGGGGGCTGTGCCGTTCGCAATAATCGAAGCAAAGCGGTTGGCCCGCCCCCCCTCGCCCTCGCCCCGAAAATTGAAAAAAAAACACTTGGGGCAAATGCGAAAACATAGGAACACAATCTGAAAACATGAAGACAACCAGAGGAAAACAACACACATTTTTTTTTTTCAAAAAAAAGAAGCAAAACAAATGACAACATGAAAAATCTGAGACAAAAAAAGAAAAAAATGTAACATGAGAAAAATATGGAAAAATGTGCAAATCAATTCCGATGTTTTTTGTTTAGGACAAATCAGGGAGGAGACAAACACATATTTTTCTAACAGAAAACACCCCCCCCCCCCCCCGCCCTCTTCGCCCCCCTCCGCCCCGGAAATCCCAGGCAGCGCCGAGCAGCGCCAGACAGCGCCCAGACAGCGGAAAACAAAGAAGGATGAGAACAAACAAAAAAAACAAAAAAAAAAAAAAAAAACAAAAAAAAATGACGCAACCAACAACAACACAATACAACATGAAGTTGTTTGTTGCATGGGCGCTGTTTTTTTGCCGCGGGCGACCCCTGGCAACACCGGACAACGCCAGACAACAAAATAACAACAAGAAAATAACAAACACATGCAACACAAACAATAAATAACAACACCAGACAACAAAAGACTACGCCAGGCAACACCCAGACAACATCCATACACCATCCAGGGGCACGGTAGGGGCGCGGGAGGGGCGCGGGAGGGACACGGGAGGAGGGGCAGGAGGGACACGGGAGTAGGGGCACGGGAGGGACACGGGAGACAAGGGAGGGGCGCGGGGGGGGCACGGGAGGGGCGCGGGATGGGGCGCGGGAGACGCGGGGGGGGCGCGGGGGGGACACGGGAGCGACACGGGAGGAGCGGCATAATGCGGGCATATTTGGACGGACGCGGGAGGGGGGGGCACGGGAGGGGCGCGGGAGGAGCGTAGTCTTTCTTTCAAGCGTGAGCGTCGAGCGCACGGCTCGACGGCAGAGAACGTCGAGCTCGCGGCTCGAGCGTCGAGCGCGCGTGCTGCGAGCCGTTCGCGTGGGCGGCGCCCCCCTGCGAGCTGCTCTCATCGGCATCTGGCGCAGCGCTGCGGGAGCGAAGAAGGCGATTGCGACGGTGAGATCGCGATGGTGAGATTGCCACTGTGAGATTGCGATGGTGAGGTTGTGAGGGAGGAGGAAGGCTGCAGATGCCCAGCTGCGGCGCAGCCCTCACATGCCGCGGCCGATGTGCACGTGCACCCCCGTGTGCGCCTCGATGATCTGGCTGATCGTCTCGCCGGCCGCGTTGAACGTCACCATCTCGTTCGAGAACGCAGCCTTGGCGCCGTCGAGGAAGCGCAGGATCTGCGACGACGCGCGGGAGCAGCGCTTGGTGTCGTCCTGGAGCGCCTTCAGCTCGCCGATGCTGATGGTGACCTTCTGGGCGTTGCCCACCGCCGCTGGCGACTGGCGAAGGCTCGCCAGCGGCGTGCTCGACGCCAGCGGCATGCTCGACGAGGCTGGCGCTGCTGCTGGATCCTCTACTGCAGGTGGAGGTCCAAGTGGACGTGGAGCACTTGAGAGCCCGAGCCTGCTGGCAACAATCTCGGCAATCTCTCCCTTCTGCTGCTCCGAGATGCCTCCCTTGTGTCTGCCTCCGCGCTGGCGCTTGTTCTGGCCGCGGCGATCGTCTTCGGCATCTCGGCGCTTCTTCCCATTCTTCTCTCCCCCCCACTGCGTCCACCTGATGCACTCGTCGTCGCGCTTGCTGATGGTGCGAGTCTCGATGGGCAACGAACCGGTCAGCTCTTTGATCCCTCCGTCGTCGAGATGCTCGAGGTCCTTCCTGTGCTCATCGCGAGACTTCAGGTGCCTGAAGACCTTGTAGCGAGCATCGTCTTCCGAAACCCACGACTGGCACCGATGCCACTTGCGACTCCACACCTCTTTGCTGCAGTTCTCGGGGAACGGGCGCTCGTGGAACCACCGCTGCGCGCAGTGCCCGTTGTCGGCGGCCATCTCTGCAGGGCGAGAAGGCGAGAAGCGCGCTCGCGAGCGGTCGAGCCGCTGAGGCGAAGGCCGCGGAACGGAGGCTTCGGCCGCCTCCTCGAGCCGAGATGCAACCGCGTGGAGAAACCAATGCGAAGCTGAAGGGCGATAGCAACACGCAAGGCGGTCTTTCCGCTATCTGAAGGGCGGCGGCAACGCGCGAAGCGTTCTGCCCGCTATCTGAACGGCGATGGCAACCCGCAAAGCGGTCTGGCCGCCATGTCGGAGGAGGGGGGGGGGGTGCGCGAAGAAGGAGGAGGTGCAATCTGGCATTGGTGGAGGGGAGATGGAGGAAGGGGAATAGACAAAGCGGTCTGGCCGCTACGTGGGAGGAGGGGGGGCTGCAGGAAAAAGAGGAAGACAAAAACGGCATTGATGGAGGGGGATGGAGGGGCAAGGTGCATGCGGAATAGGCAAAGCGGTCTGGCCGCTGGAAGGTGAAGAAAAAAGGTGAAGAGCACGCCATATTGCATTCGCGCGAGGGCCGAGGCGGCCAGGTCGCTCGGCAAAGGCGGGCCGAGGCGGCTAGGCTGCGCGCGGGCCGAGGCGGGCCGAGGCATGCCTGCAGGCGCCAAGTGCGAACGGGCATCGTTCTCCTCCCCCTCCTCCTCCTCCTCCTCCTCCTCCTCCTCCTCCTCCTCCTCCCCCTCATCCCTCCTCCACCTCCTCCTTCCTCCTCCTCGTCCTCCTCCGCCATTAAAAGCGGCTTGTGGCAGCCCCTCGCTGCAGCGACTTGTGGCAGCCCCTCGCTGCAGCGGCCTCGCTGCAGCTCCTCACTGCAGCTCCTCACTGCAGCGGCCTCGCTGCAGCTCCTCACTGCAGCTCCGCGGCCTCGCGGCGTCTCCTCACTGCAGCGGCGGGGGCGGCGGCGGCTTCGATCTGGTAGAAGGCCGGCGCCTCCTCGACCTCGCGAGGGCGCGGGTTGCTGGCCTTGAACCTCGCGAGCGCTTCTGGGCCCTGCTTCTTGGCGGCGTTCAGCATGCGGTAGTAGTCGCGATGGCGGCCGCCGCTGATGCCGCAACGCGCCCGGCCGCCGCCCACGCCAGCCCTCCGCGGCTCTCCGTTCGGAGCCCGCCAGCCGCGCGGGCCAGGGGTGCGCGCGCGCGGAGCCCCAGCCTTCGGAGGCGGCGGCGGCGCTGCAGGCTGCGTCGCCGCGGGAGGCGGAATTGCAGGCTGCTTCGGCGCGCCGAGCGCCTTCGGAGGCGGCGGCGGCGCTGCGGGCTGCGGCGGCGCGGGGGGCGGCGTTGCAGGCGGTTCAGGCGTCGGCGCCTTCGGGGGCGGCGCTGCGGGTCCCGGCTTCGCCCATGGCGCCATGCATGGCGCGGCTTTCGCGCGCGTCGGCAGAAGCTGCCGTTGCGGCTGCTGCTGCGCTGCTGATGCGCTGCCTGCCGTCGGGAAGACCAGCTGCACGGGCTGTTTCGGCTCGCTTCTCGTCGCCGTGTCTTCCTGCTCCACTGCGCTGCCGTGCTTTGACGTCGTAATGAGCTTCGGCTTCTTGCGCACTGGGCTCTTCGGCACGCGAGGAGCAGGCGCGTCGAGGCCGCGGTGGCGATCGAGCGCTCGCGCTTTGGCCTGGCTGATGCGAAGGGCGGCCTCCTCCGTGTTCGTGCGCTGATGCCATGGCCACGGGATGCCGTGCGATGTTGCTTGCGGTGCTGCCGCTGCTGCAGCTGGCGCCGGTGCTGCAACTGCGCTGGTGTTGCCGTGCGCTGGTGCTGCAACTGCAGCAGCTGGTGCTGCTCCCGCGCCGTGCGCCGGTGCTGCTCCGCCGTCGTGCTGGCGCTGCAACTGCAGCAGCTTCCTGGAGCGCGCGCAAGAGGGGCGCGGGAGGAGGGGCAGGAGGGGCACGGGGGGGGCACGGGAGAGACACGGGAGGGACACGGGAAGGACGCGGGAGCGACGCGGGAGGGGCACGGGAGGAGGGGCACGCGGGGCACGGGATGGGCACGGGGGGGGAACACGGGAGGGACACGGGAGGGGCACGGGAGAAAGAGAGAGGCGCAGAGAAAGCGTGGAGCTGCCCTCGCCACGCAGGAAACACAGCGGGTCCACGTTCTCCAGGTTGAGGAACGCGCCCATGGCGCCGCGCAGGGGGCAGGGCGCGGCGTGGGCGGCCGCGCAAGCGGCCAGGCCGCTGAAGCAAGCAAAAGCGGCTGGCCGCTATAATAAGCAAGGTTGACTGACAAACACATTGCGCAAACCAGACACAAGCATCAGGCA